ATATCAAGTAAACATGGCACAAGCGAGCAGATAGGTAATACCCGGATCCCATGTAATTAGCAAAACATGCATATTTATTTGTAAACGGTAAAACATTTATAAATTGGGATCAACATGCTCAAGGGGAATGTGTGACTTGCCTTGCTTCTTCACTTTACTTTGATCTTCCGAACTCTTTTCCTCGCGACCGCGGACTTCCGAAACGACGGAAACTACACGCTGGCACGCAAAACGAGGAAAAACTCTAATAAAAACCAAGAAAACAGTACATAAAAACTAAACAAACATGTAGAGCTCAATTTTAGATGAATTTTGCAAGTTGAATGGCTCAATTCGGAGTTCGAATGAATTAGGTATGAATTTTAGAAGTTTTGAGCCATTTAAATGGATTTCTATAATTATTATCGAATTATTGCGCAATTATTAATTATTTTCTCAAAGGAAAAGCTTAAGCGCTGACGTCATCAAAGAGGCCGGCGCCGACAGGCGGGCCCCACACGTCAGCGGGTCAAGGGTATCGGTCCACCGTGGACCGGGACCACGGGGTGGTCCACCGCCGGTCCACGGGAACCGACGGCCCAGATCAGCCCGAGCTGATCGGGCGGCCACGAGGCAGGGCGCCCAGAGCACGGGCACGGCATGAAACCGGCTCGGCCGAGCCAAGGCGCGGCGGCGGCATGCGGCCACCGGCGGCAGCAGCCGGCGATGCGGAGCGGCGGCGGGCGGTCGGCGAAGAGGAAAAGGAGGAGGGAGACGGCTCACCGAGAGGCGCGGCGACGGAGAGACGACCATGGGGAGGCGGCCGGCGGCGGAAAGGATGGCGGCGTATGGTGGAGGTGGCTCGGGATGCACGGTGGAAGGGTGGTTGCGGTGGTGGAATGGGGAAACGGAGCGGAGGCCGGGGTAGATCTTGGCACGGCGTTGCCGACGGCGCAAGCGGCGAGGTGCGGCGACGACTAACGCGGCGGCAGCGGCCGGCTGAAGGCGGTGTGTGGCGGTAGTGGCTCGGCCTCGCGATGGGAAGGTGGTTCCGGCGGTGGAGGAGGGAGATGGAGTGGATGCCGGGGTGCGGCGAGGAACGGCGATGCCGATGGCGGTGGTAGCGCAGCGCGGCAGCGACGGGAGCGGTGGTGGCGCGCGACTGGAGGTGACGAGAGGCAGCTGTGGCTCGGGTGCACGGTGGATGTGGTGTTTCGGCGGAGTTTTGTGGAAACGGAGCGGTGGCCGGTGTGCGGCAAAGAGCGGCGGAGCCGACGGTGCAAGCGGCGCGGCGCGGCGGCGGCTACAGCGACGGCGGCGTGCAGCCGGAGCTCGCCGGAAAGCGGCAGAGCGCGGGAGCAACGAGGGGAGAGCGGTTGGGAGTGCAGCGGGTTCGGGAAAATTGGGGAAAAGGGGGAGGATGGCACGGGGATCATTTTTATAGGCTCGGGGAGGAGAAATCGTGGCCGGACGTGGCGGATTTGAAGCGGCAACGGCCGGCGACGTGGGTGACATCGTGGGCGAAGTGGGGCTCGATTCGGCGCCGGTTTTGGAGGGGGAAAGTGGGGGAGGAGAGTGGAGGAGGTGGGGCGACGCGGTCCCGCGGTCAGGGCGAGCGCGCGGGTGGAGGAGGAGGCGGAATCGGCGGCGACGTGGGGAGAGCGTGGCGGCGGTTTCGGCTGAGGGAGCCGGAGGTTGGGGATGACAGGTGGGGTCCACGGGTCCCACCTGTCGGAGAGAGAGGGAGGGAGAGGCCGGCTGGGGAGGCAAAACAGACTTGAGGGAGAGAGAGAGCCGAGCGGGCCGAGGGAGGAGGCCGGCCCGAGAGGGAGAGAAAGGAGGGGTTGGGCCGAAAGGGGCCCAAAGAGAGGAAAGAGGATTTTAATTGTTTTCTTTTTATTTTAATTGATTCGATGAACTTTGTGCCATTAAAATTACTTCTTGAGCTCCGAAAATTCACGGAAAATTCCGGAGAGTACATTAGGGCACAAAGAATATTACAAAATATTCCCGGCCATTGATTTTTAAGGGAAAATTTCAAATTCTCCCATTATTTTACTTGATTAAATTGATTTAACTTTTATTTAATTTCTAGAAAATGCATTTATTTAATGATTTTTAATCCCGAACGAAAATCGGGGCGTTACAGATGGCCAGATCCGGCGAAGGCGACGCCGGATCCGCTGTCTCCTCGTCGGGATGGGCCACCGCCACCGTTCGCCGCCTCTCCTGCGCTGAGAGGGGTCGCCGCCATGGAGGGGGCCCCGCCGCCGCCATCATGGCTCACTCGCCGGCTTTCCAGCGGTGAGCTCCGGCGGTGGTGAGGTGGGGGAGGGGAGAGAGGGAATGTGGCGGCGCTGCTAGGGTTTCGTCTCCCGTCTCGCCAGCGTGTGGGCGACACGGGGGTGGGTGGGTCAACGATGAAATCTTGTACTTTCTAACATGATAGATCTTTCATTCTTATTGGATACTCTTATGTGTTCCACATGCATGAGGGTACTGCACAAATACAGGGTCGTGGTCCTCTTATTGTTGCTCACAAGGCACAGACAATGGAGGGAAAGAATGGATGGCGAGCAAAAATAGGAAACATGTCCAAATATTAGTAGGTTGTCATTGAAAAAAATTAGTTATTATAATAGTTTTATTTTGTCCAAATTAAATGGATTTATAGGATGCAAATATTAGAATTAAATGGGCTAGGCCCAATTAAATCCTAGTAATTCCATGGACTCGTAATTAATGTTAATAGATTAATGTCATCTTGAAAATAAACGAGAAGAGACCGTAACTTAAATAGATCGCTAATTGAGAACACCTGTTGAGTGGTTGAGGTGGTGCTGGGATTGCCACATGCACGCGCGCCAAGCCACTCAGACGGGCCGTGGTGAGGCAGATGGGCGTGCGACAGAGACGAAGACGGTGGTCAAGTGCGATTAAGTCAGAAACGCTCATCTCTCTCCCTCAACGTTATCTCTTACTCTCTCCCTCAACGTTATCTCTTACCTCCAACCAAGTGCGGTTAAGTTAGAAACACTCCTCTCTCTCCCTCAACATTGTCTCTCACGTCCAGCCCCCTCAACATTATCTCTCACGTTCAGCCGAGGCAGAGGATTACTGCATCTCTTTGATTCCATCTTTGAATGGACAATGCCATGAAGTGCCATCAAGTGCGGTTAGGTTAAGTCACGTCTAGCTGAGGTGGAGGATTACTGCTTCTCTTTGGTTCCATCTCTGGATGGACGAGACCATGAAGTGCCATCAAATGTGGTTAAGTCAGAAGTGCTCCTCTCTCTCTCTCTCGACATTATCTCTCACCTTCAGCCCTTTCTCTCCCTCAACAGTATCTCTCACCTCTAGCCGAGCAGATTGGTTGTTCTGTTCTAAATGGACGAGACTATAAAGTGCCATCAAGTGCGGTTAAGTCATAAGCACTTCTCTCTCTCCCAACGTTATCTCTCACCTCCAGCCGAGGCAGAGGATTGCTGATTCTTTTCGGTTCCATATCTGGTTCTCCTTCGAAGGAACTCGGTTTTTTTGTTTTTGTGCAGCTCTGGCTTTCCTTGGTTATGGGTACTTGCGCGCACGGGTACTCAAGAGAAGCAGGCCTTTAGAACTCCGTCAGCTTAAGTACCTGCACGGTAGGCGTGCGATCAAGTCGCGCTTCTTCAGCACGACTACTCTGCTACGTCTCCACTGCTTCCTCCGCGTCAATTTTTTTTTGCATCACCATGTTTAGGGAGAATGGCAGGAATGGTGACACCAACATCAACCCCAACACCAATACCGCCTCTAGATCTGAAGCGTTCTCCGAGTATGTTATTTTAATATTTTTAGTGTTAAATATGTTACTAGATGATGCTATTACTGTTGTTAGCATTTTCATGTTTAGCACTATCACTAGATCATATTTTTATTCACATGTCATATTTAGTATATTGTATTTTATTAAAATATACCGAATTATGATTATATTTCCAACCGTATATCGAGAATGCACAATCTTTTATTTTTTTTATTATATGGAAGATGCACATGCACTGTTGTCACTATGCACACGTTGCACTACACCACCACCTTCATGAGTGCACCTTCAAGAGATAGAGTTCTCATGATTAATCTATGAATAGTATTACATTTTTGTTGAAAACACATTCGAACATGTATAATAAGCTATATTAAGATTTGAATTCTCATGGTTGGAACACTGTATTTTTTTATTTGTATTAAATAAGTTATATATTTCTCATATAAACTTACACAGAGTGATATCGATATATTTCAAAATGAAAGGAGTGCTTTGGTGAAATGGACTAGGGGAAATTTTTATCATATTTAATTTGCTAAGGTTCTATGTGACTAATTGGTATTTTTATCTCTACATATCCATGGATCTGGATTTGCAATTACGTTGATAATATTTAGATAAAATATTTTAGATGTATACAAACTTTAAATTTACTGTAGATCTGAGGTATGAAGTCATGAGGATTACTTGTGACTTTTTGCACAGTACTCTCTCCGTGTCATTTTGATTTTTATCTAGTCAAACCTTTTTAAGTTTAACTATATTTTTTTATAATATGTTTATGTTTATTTTGAGTTGGAAATGCTACTATATTTTTTTATAAATTTGAAAAAAATTAAAATAGTTTGAATATGAAAAATATCAAAATGACAGAGTGAGTAGGATAGATGGTACATGAAACAAGTTTGATTATAAAAAAAAAAATCAAAACTGATTATAGTATGAAACGAAGGGAGTAGGATAAGATGATTTGAGGTTTGAACCTTTGAGGTTGATGTTGACTCAGGTTAGAGTTTAGGGGCCAAATAGAGTAATTTTAAAAATAGAACAAATGAGAGGGGGGCGGTTCCATTACGCCCGCGGTGGCCTTGAACCGTCCATAGCGCGATCTGCGGTCCAGGATCATATCGCGCGTGCGTGACCGCGTGAATGAAAATGCGTAATATACCGTTTATGTAGGTACCTATTTGCAAAAAGAAAAATAAAATCACCCCACGATCCGAAGCTTCCCCCTGTTCCCTCTCCCTCCTCCGTTTCCTTCCCCTCGAAGCAGCGAGCAGCGAGCAGCAGCAAAGCCGCGGCATCGGCGGCGATCCCCCAACCGAATCACCCCCACCTCCGGCGATCGCCGGCCTCCGCCGCAGGCATCCATCCATCCATCCATCTCCGCGTCCGGTCCACCCAGCCCCCCCCTGGCCGATGGGGAGCGACGCGGAGCCGGCCAAGGGGCTGCTGCCCTACCTGCAGCGCGCCGACGAGCTGCAGAAGCACGAGCCGCTCGTCGCCTACTACTGTGAGGACACGCCCCTTCCCTTCCCTTTCCCCCCCACCACTTAGCTTCGTTGATTCAGTGGAATTCCCCCCACTCGATCTCGGCTGATTGCTAGGGTTTGGTCTGGATTTGTTTTTTTTGGATGGGTTGAGCAGGTCGGCTCTACGCGATGGAGAAGGGGATGAGAATTCCGCAGAAGGAGCGCACCAAGACCACAAACTCCCTCCTCATCTCTCTCATGAACCAGCTGGAGAAGGTATAATATATGCTTCTCTGCCACTACTACTGCGAGGAAAATCAAGCAATTGCTCTTGTTCAATTTAGTTTAGATCTATTCACTTTGTGGAAATTAGGGTTTGGAGATGACAAAAATGATGCTCCTTATATATTTTTTTTTGTTGGGCTTGCTGCATCTTAGAAGACTAGGATTATAACCCAACTGGGCTATCTCTTGATAGGAGTAATTGTGCCCATTGTTAGCATATGCGCGTGAGTGCAAAGGAAGAGTGAATGAAAAATTGAAATCCAATGTTCACATCTGAATCCCAGCAGTCCTCAAGGTGATGGCTGGGGATTGCACAGATGATCTTATCTGTGAGTTGTGTTCAGACTGCTGTTAGAAGCTCGGGAAAGCAGTGATTTTGATTGGCAGAAGAAACATGGCTTTTTTGTGCTGACCTTGAGGTGGCATCAAACTGTATTGAACCAACGTTAGCTTAACTGTTGATAACTGTGTGATAGTTTGTGCCTTTTTCCCACCTCAGTGCTTAGATTCTTTTGGGCGCATTCCAAACACTTCCATAATCATGACAGAGGGATTTATACTCCTGTGACACTGATCAGTGTTCTGTAATAGTTTAACAGTAATTGGCAAGCAAGTTGAAGGCTATAGCCTTGAACATGATTGAACTATACAGTAAAATAACATGTGTACACATGGTATGGTGCGCAATTAATGTTATGTATGTGACACTAAAATGTGCATTAAAATAACAGAAATGAAATTTAAATACCAAAATGTCTTAACATGTGCTAAACAGAACAAGCTGTATTGCACATTATATCGTTATACGACTTGAGATGCTTTGCTTATATTTTCCAATAGTGTTGCATATTGCATGTTTGTCATTTGATTACTTAGTTGTGTGCAGGATGCCATTGTTTATACGTTTGTTAAAATGAACTTAATCACCTATCTTTAATATATTAATTGCCTTATCTTTATCCTCTGAATGGCATGCATCTTTTTGGCTGTTACATCTGTTGCTTTATGCAATGTGGGAACAAAATATTTCTTCAGATTTTTAGTCCTGATTAAGTTTTCACATCCTCCAGGATAAGAAGTCATTGACTTTGGGGTCTGATGACCATCTTCATGTAGAGGGGTTTGCATTGAATGTCTTTGCTAAAGCAGACAAACAGGATCGTGCTGGACGAGCGGACATGTACTATACTCTAAAAAATTCTCACTCTTCAACCATGCTGGCATAATCTATTAATGTAGTCTCACTAATGCATATTAAAACTGCTCATTTTGCAGAAACACTGCAAAAACCTTCTATGCTGCCAGCATCTTCTTTGAGATCCTCAACCAATTTGGTGAGCTTCAGACTGATGTAAGTCTACTAAGTTATTGTTCGCATTTGTTATAACATGATTGATTTTAACTCTTGGCTATATGCTAGTGTTTATACTTATTATCTATTACTATATAATCTTTTCCTTTTGACCTATGCTCAAATATACGGCAGCAATTGTGTATCCATATTTTACCTTCCTTATTCCTGTGGTCTTTAACAGGTTGAGCAGAAACAGAAATATGCCATCTGGAAGGCTGCTGAAATAAGAAAAGCTCTCAAAGAAGGACGGAGGCCTGAAGCTGGTCCTCCTGGTGGGGACAAAGATGAAGCACCTGACAGCACCACCACAAATTCCCATCTAACGGTCTGATTCCTTAGCAATAATTTCATGTTACATATTGCACACAATATTTATTTAGGCAATGTAAATATTATCAAATTTCTATCATACAAGCCATGTTTGCTTCTGTTCTACTCTCTGTGTTACCTGCACCATTTTTCATGTTTGAAAACAGGTAAAAACATATAATAAAAACCCTTTTAATAACTCTCTTAAGTCATTAACAATAACTCCATTTTATGACACATCGTACAATTCTCATCATGTTTCTATCATACAAGACCAGTTTGCTTCCATTCTACTTTCCATGGTACCAGTCTCATTTTTTCTTTTTGAAAGCAGGCAGAGGAAAAAAAGTCTAAAAGATGAACTATGATTTGTATTATTGTATATTTTAATAGTTAATTAGTTTGATTGGTATCCCAATTTATTTATTTACTTCAGTGCAGTTTCTCCCATGAAATAGTTTCAATAGGAATCTTACTAAATAGTAAAAGCTATTAAGCCTTCTTTCCGTTAAATGTTAATTATCCATCCAAATACATGCTGGTACGAGTGTCTTAACACAACACAGGGTTTGGGATGCATGCTAATTAGCTAAGGGCTAAGGCTTGTTATTTTCTACTTTACTTTCTGAAATCTATATTGCCATCCTCCTGAATGTCTGAACCTTACCGCAATCCTGGATTGTTCCAGTTCCAAAGTTACTGCATAATTACATGGAACTTACAATTTTAATTACATGCGATGAGGATTCCTTTGGACCTTTTTCTAGTGCTTCAGTTTTCCTGAATTAAGTCACATGTTTAGAAGTTAGGAAAAAAATGTCTTTTTTGATCGACAGACTACAGATTTGGTACATTCCTGTTCTCAATCAATATTGTTTGGTCTATTTATCAGGATATGGGGCGCAGCCAATCCTTTGGCAGTGGGCAGCATGGGAACGAAGCATCATCTCAGCATGTAGATCAGGTTATTTTGCTTTTGTAGATTACTGCATTTAATTTTTATGCTTGGATAGTTTTTTAGCAAGTGGCTTTATTTCTCTTGGTTATATGTATTTACGCAGGATTTTAGCAGGAGGGATAGCTTCTCTGCGGTCCAACCAGGAAATAATGCACTCCGGCACAGTACAGAGAAGTTCAATGACCATGTCTCTGCCCAGTCACCTTATTCACCACCACCCCCACAATCCCAGACGCCCCCACAATCCCAGTTTTCATCTCCTGCACAGTCATCTTATTCCTCTCCGTCATATCAAGGAACAGATTACCCTTCTTCTGATGTTCACAAACCACCCCACGGTTATTCATCCGCCCCATATACAAGCACAGACTACCCTACCAATGAGGTCCACAAACCACCATCCAATTATTCCTCACCACCGTACACAAGAACAGACTACCCTTCCAGTGATAGCTACAATCCCCAGAGCAATGATAAACCAGATATCCCTACTTATCCTCACACATACCACCAGCCACCCTACACAATTGAACCGCAGCACACATCTCAAAACTACTACTCTACAGAAACCCCAGCTGCTCCGTATAACTACTCTAATTTTCAGTCCTATCCAAGCTTTCAGGACAGCTCGGTACCTTCTGTCCCAACTCATCAGTCTTCGTTCTATCCTGCTAGTGATGGTACAAGCGCTGTATCATACTCTCCTTCTGGATCGAACCATCCTGCACCAACACAATACCACCCGAGTGCTGATACTACTACGCATCAAGTTACTCCCCCTGCTATCGCACCACCGGCTAGCCAATACAAGTATGATAGCAGTTACCAGCCAGAAGTTGAAAAGATTGCCGAGGCTCACAAGGCAGCAAGATTTGCAGTTGGTGCCCTCGCATTTGACGACGTGTCGGTCGCTGTTGATCACCTGAAGCGCGCGCTGGATCTTCTGACGAACCCTTCCGCCGAAACTCATTAGTTCTCTCAGGCTTTCTTATGGTCTTCGCAGAAAACATCTTCTGTACATATGCTACACTGGTAATTACTACGACATGGAGATGTTGCCTGGTTGCATACAAACAAAGATAGCAAAGATACTGGGTTGGCTACACAAATCTAGGAGATCTCGAGGGGCACCTTTTCTCCTGTACCTACAACCATTGAACGGCTTCTTGTGTGAAGTTGAATTATTTGTCACAGAGTTTTGCAAGAAAAGGATATACTGTACATTACATTTGTTTGAATAAATCTTGAGAGGTGATCTGGTACTTCTTGTATATTGACTGCTTTGGTTTAAGGTCTCATTTGTTATTATTGCTACTTTGCTTAAATGCTTTGGTTCATTGCACATCAAGGTGATCTCCGGTATAATGTCAATAGTGTATTATGCGATTGTAGATGCCAGCAATACCATGATGGCAGCGGTGAGCCAGCAAGGCCATGTGCTGCTTGCTCTGCCAGGGTCAGCGCTACCAGGTACCAACAGTAGCACACAGTCGGGCTCAAAAGCAACAAGTGGTCACTGGTCACACATCCAAGCTACTCCATCCGTTTTCAAAAAAAATTCATCCGTTTTTTTTAAAAAAATCAATCCTACTGCTCCCTCCGTCCTATAATACAAGGGATTTTGAGTTTTTACTTGTACTGTTTGACCACACGTCTTATTCAAAAAATCTGTGCAAATATAAAAAACGAAAAGTTGTGCTTAAAATACTTTGGATAATAAAGTAAATCACAAAATAATAATAATAATTCTAAATTTTTTTGAATAAAACGAGTGGTTAAATAATACGAGTAAAAACTCAAAATCACTTATATTATGGGACGGAGGGAACGGAGGGAGTAGTTATGAACTTGACATGTTCCAAGGTCGGTTGCCAGCTTCTGACATGCTACCTTTTTGCGCGTGGGAAAGTTCCGAACACATTTTGGTTTTTCTTAGGACCTGTTTAGCTCGTGAAAAGGAAAATTTTTGGTGTCACGTCGGACGTTTGATCTCATGTCAGAAGGGGTTTTCGGACACGAATGAAAAAACCAATTTCATAACTCGCCTGGAAACCGCGAGACGAATCTTCTGAGCCTAATTAATCCGTCATTAGCACATGTGGGTTACTGTAGCACTTGTGGCTAATCATGGACTAATTAGACTCAAAAGATTCGTCTCGCAATTTCCCCCTAACTGTGCAATTAGTTTTTTTTAATTTATCTATATTTAATACTCCATACATGTGTTCAAAAATTCGATGTGATGTTTTTAGAAACTAAACAGGGCCTAAAAGGGAAACAGAAATAGGAAACTCCTTTGGACGAAAAATGCTTTGAAGAAACTACTGAGGCCAAAAGCTTGGGTGCCCATGCTCCAAAGCATGGCCTGCGTGCTGGCTCTCCTTTTCCTCTGGGGTAGTAGTGATAGTCTGATGATAGCATGTTGCAAGTAAAGAACAATGCTCTTTAAATGATTTTTTTCCTTAAATGTTTATCCGATATACAATCTGATTACATCATCATCGTATTCGTTATAATAAAATCTTTACAATGAGATCTAAAATAACTAATATTTTGATAACAATGTTTTCCAACCTGAACTATACAATAGAAATTATGAACTATAAAACCCACTATCTCTAGATTCTCACGAAGTACCAAGGTTAACAAAACCGTGCGGTTATCATGTGCGGTATCCTTTTCAATTTTTAAAACCACAATATATCTCATGGTAACCCATAACCGCACGATTTTTGTGGTAATCGTGCGGTTACTGCACTAACCGCTAAACCATATGGTGACGGTAAACAAGGCGGTTTGGTAAACCTTGCCAGGTGCTTCTCATAAACTGTAAACAAGGCCATAGGCTTATTCGTAGAATCTATAGCCTGTGCGGGTTAAAGAGCAGTGGTGGAAAATTTCCTTTACATCGGCCGGCTGTCTTGGCCGGCCCAGCGAAAAAAAAAAGGTAATACTGAAGCTTGTCCTTCTAATCAGACAAGGAAAAAAAAGTTCTTACTCCAAGGCAATCTTGCATACTCCAAATTCCTTCCCCCACAAAGAAAAAGAGAAGAGAAAGAAAGGCTCAGAACTGTCGAAGCTGAAACTGAAGACAAGTTTACCCAGCTAGCCTCCATTCGAAGGCAGACAACGCAATCATCAGTATATAGTAGTATTAATATAATGTACTGTTGCTATGAAATGATGAAATCAATGCAGCTTGGTTAGTTGCATGTATGGCCAGGCAGAGTAACCATTTGCATATATGGTCAGACGAACCATTCAACAAACTGACGCAGGCAGCTCCCATAATTCCAAACTTTGATGATTTCATGAAAGGCCGTACTCCGTAAGGAACAACAATGAGGTCAAATGGTTACAAGGGCAGCAGCAATATTAAATACGTGAGCTGTGTCCCGTTACAGTTGCCTGGCCAAAAAGATCAGTTGAATGAATTACATAAAATCTGGCAAAACTGGAAAGAACACATGGAACAGTATATGACACGTTTACAAGATTACTACCAATTTAAGGCTAGTTTAGTGTGTAAATAGTACAAAAACAGCCGTGGGGTTCCTTTTCCTATAAACCGTGTTAATGGATCAACAACAAGCAGATGTGGTCCAAGCATTTTACAACACTGAAATCACTGCCAGATTTAATCTTCACGTTGATTTCTCCTGCAACACCGAAGCATCAGACTAGGATCTTTCACACAGAACAAGTACTGACGATGCTCACAATTACGGATAGAGCAATTTATGGCCTCAACCATCAGCACCTCAAGATTGTCCGTGCTCTGTAGGCAATAAATATATTGAACCACATTGTATTTCAGCATCTGCTGAAATTGCATCCTGTAAATCAATGTGAGAATAGTTCCAGCTCAAGACTAATGCCGACAGTATAACTTCCCTTCAAAATGAAGTCCTCTACCAGATTGTGTGGACTATTTTGTGTAATGTTATGTTCACAAGTAGCTTCAGTTAAGCAAACTAATGGGCTATTGACTGTCAATCCACTGTTTTAGCGTCAGCAGCAGAACCATTATATCTGTAAGAAGGCCCATAAATGCTTCTTCAAATGATAATATACACATTCTACCACTGAAAACATGTAAATGAAACCTCTGCTTAGTTCATGATTACAATGATTGCAAAACATCATTAATGAATTGCATACAGTAACCAAGCAGGTGGAAGAACTAATAACATCATCTACAACCATCTTACAATCTGTAAGTTGGCTCCAGTCTTTTTTCATTGCAGTGAGTAGTCTAAAATTAATTTAAAGAAAATCACAATGGGAAATTAGTATTACCTAGATACTCACATTATGCATGATTGCATGCTTATTCATTTCCTTAAGTGAAAAAAATAAAAAGAAAAATTTGCAGAAATATTAGTTGAAACCAGCAAGATGCATCATTATGACCAAGCTAAAGGATTTAAGAGGCAAGGAAGGTTTAATTAAGGACCAGATTTTTTACTCCAACAATTACATAATCTATGGGGAAGGAGTTCATAAAAAATGGCTTATGAAATGCATGAACCAACATATGAAATGAAGCAGTGCTCGAAGAATTGTGATTATGTACCTCTAAAGAAGTTTTGAGCTCGAATTGTCCTGTAACTTGCCAGTGTTTGAGTAGCCCGATAATACTCTGGAAACTGAGTAGGGGCACCCAAAAAATCGAATAAGATTTTGCAGGCCTCTCTCGCCGTGCATGACATTCGGCGAACTTAAACGGTTAAGGTATGTATTTCCTTCATATATATAACTAAGTTGCTGGAACAACAGCACACCTATACCAGCGTTAACTGATAGACTAGCAAATGCAAGGTATACTGTAACAAAACCCCTTGCTGACAAGAAGAATGCAGAGCTTGCCAAGGTACCAATAATCTCAATTAGCATCTTTATATAACCCATTGAACGGCGAGTTGATGCTAGATTTTCAAAATCTAGTGGAGGCCATATACGATAACTTGAATAAATGGTCATACCAGCAGCATAACTACAACTGATGACCACAGAAATAAGGAAAATTACAAAAGCATGGTGATTTGAAGCTCCCACACAGTTCCCAATCTGTAGGTGGACACAGAAAAAGGAAACAAACCAAGTCAAGTCAATTAAGTAGAGAAGAATAATGGTATCGGAAGTTAGTTTTAGAGTTGTCAAACTTACAAATGGGCAATGATGATCCATGTCTAACACACACATTTTACAAGATCGGCAGTGATGTGCCCTTGGGGGCTTTGGTTTACTACAGTATGTACAGAAGGTATAGTTTTCCAGATCATTTTTCCCAACCATGGGATAGCTGCCCCACCGCATGTCTGCCGGTGCACCAGCAGATTTAAAAGAGGCCAAGCAATAACTTGTGATGGTAAATACAGCTAGTAGACCTGTTAATATGCAATGAAAGATGCCACAAAATGTGCTGATCGAGAAAACAACTGGATATATCGCCCAGACACCACCACCTGTGAGACAAGTTTAGTCATATGGAACAGCAGCACAAATTGCATGAATAAACAAATAAACATGGAGAGGTCAAGATGGAAAGTTTTATCTAAAGCTAATGACAATAGACTCGGAACCTACATATGACGAAGAGCATGAAGAGGATAAGCACAGTCACAAAGAACCTGTCCCGGAAATTCCTCCAATGAGAAAAGCATACACTGTCAGGTTTTCTTGAAATTTGGTTACTTTGTGTGATTGCTCCACACCAGCCACACTTAAAAACAGGTGCATAACTTGCAAAAATGAGACGGAGTCCACATCCCCAACAAGTGGCCTCATGATCTTCCGGTATAGATGTTACACATTGCTCTACCTAAATGGAAGGACAATTGCAATTAGTGCATTACTGTAGAGAATATTAGTCCAACTTAAAACAACTGCAAACTGTAACACATAACCTTGACTTGTTTATCATTTCAGTCAAGAAACCTAAAGAATCATTCTTGCTACTGAGCCAAGAGCACAGAATTTTATGCGCTACAGTCTCAGGGGAGAAAATCTGCATAGCACAGATTTTTTATAACAGCATAAATTTTTTTATAACAGATTTTCTCCCCTGAGACTGTAGCGCAGATAGCACAGCTTTTAGCACTTATATCTAAATAAAAAAAACTGCAATCATGTATTATAAATGATGTCCAGTGTCAACACAATTTACAGATTATGCTGTGCTAACTGCCTATCTCTGGGTTCTTTCTGGACGCAAATTAAATTTATTTTAAGTTGCCATAACCTGTTTCAGAAGATTTACCAACAAAAAAAAGGGTACATCAGTGATTTTCGGAGCACATTGTTGTAAAATATCGTGACAGTTTTACCACAGATAATATCCGTGTTTCTGAATTGCATTACAACTTAAGATCATGGTCATAGACTCGTTGTCTGGTGCTATCTTCAGGCCGACCAACAAAGTTACAAGGCTAAAAGCCAAATCACTATCCAGACCAAAGTGTATCAGTTATAAGGCTACAGCAGGGTTGCTCATCGGATATCAGTTACTTCCCAGAGCATTTGGCATACTACAAATAATCCAGATATCAGGTATCAGACGTCTCCTTTAACAAAAATAACCCAATTGAATGAGTGATTATTGACAACCTAAGCTCATAAAGGATAAACCCCAAGCTCATATCCAACTTGATGCGCCGATTACCCAAAAAACAAAAAGAACCACCTCTACAATAACAAGTAGAGGGCGATGCCCCGACCCATTATTAATTAGTTATCCTAGGCTAGAAATTCCCTCGCGTGTTGGCAACGGAGACCAAAAAGATGGGACCGAGCCGACGGCTGCAAATCAGACGCAATAATGCGCGCAATCATGGACCCAATTCGACGCAAGAGCACTAGAACAGCACGAAACCCCCTACCTACAAGGCGATGCCGCCAAAGCACGCGGCAAAAGGAAAAGGGGGGGGGGGGGGGGGGGGGAGACGGGGGCAAACCTCGAGCAGCGGCTGCTGCTCCATCGCGGATCCACCACAGGAGACAGGGAGGGCGCGGATCGGAGCGAGGGTTGATAGAGCGGAGGCGGTGGTGGTGGTTGGGAAATCCGCAGGAGCAGGACTAGTTCGGAATAGAGGCGGAGACGGGGAAGAGGAGAGAACATGTTTCGGTTGTCTTTTCCGCCAAGGATTCCTTCGATAAAAACAGTTTGAGAGAAGATGACTTGAGCATAATTAAAAGGAAATGCCTCGTAATACTCTCTCCATTCCAAAATGGATATCATATTATTGTCATGAATCATCTCAACTAATATAATACATGCAACCAATATAATTAAAGATCTTATAAGTATAGGATTTAAAATAATACTCCATCCGTTTCTAAATATTTGACACCGTTGACTTTTTAGCACATATTTGACCGTTCGTCTTATTTAAAAACTTTTGTAAAATATATAAAACTATATGTATACATATAATTATATTTAACAATAAATCAAATGATAGGAAAATAATTAATAATTACTTAAATTTTTTAAATAAGACGAACGGTCAAACAAATTTTAAAAAGTCAACGGCGTCAAATATTTACAAACGGAGGGAGTAATAATTTAGGGGAGAGAATGTGCTAATTAACTACATGCATGCATGTATGCCTTATATTATGAAACAACTTTAAAAAGTAGTTGTGCCTTATATTTTGGAATGGAGGGAGTAGTAGCCCGTTCGACCGGAATTATACATCAAAGGTGTTGCCTGATATGATACCTCTGAGATATCATCCCATTAGAACAGGGTATCAGTCGATACCTCTAAGATAACATCCCATCCACCGAGCTGATCCGGCCCCCGCTCCTGTGAAGAGAAAGAGGGTGTGTAAGTGACAAATGGATCTCACACACATATATTTTTTAATTCAAATACATATAAGTGCTACGTCAACTACACGTGGAACGAAGACTAAGTCAACGCCGCCACGTCGACACCATCTCAATGAAACCGCCCTCCAAAACTGTCGATGGAGTCAAATTGCATCAGTTTTAATAGCTGGGGGTCGAAATATCCGATATTGTGGTTCAGGATATGAATTATATTCGGTCACTAGTTAAGGGAGTCAAAGTGAACTTATTCCTTTTAGGGTTGGCTTCTCTTTGCTGTTGATATGTATGTATCTATATATTGGGCTATATGGGCCTAAATTTGATTAGTGGGTTGTATGCCATATTTTCGTGGAGTAAGTTCATCTGAGGTCCCTTAACTTGTCAATGAATCCGATTTTTGTCCTTTGACCGGAACAGCAGATACAACAGGTCCCTCAACTGTCAAAACTTCTGCAAAATAAGTTCCAAGGCGGTTTGGACAACGGTTTCAGCTGACGTGGTATCTATGTGGCTAATTTACTCGGTTTTTATTTGATGTGACATTGACATGGCTCTTACATGGCAAATTGATTTGGAAAATAATAAAAACTATGACCCCACATGTCAGTTACACCAAAAAAAAATGGTGGTCCTCACCTGCCTTTCTCACCCCTCCTCTTCTTCCTCCTTTCTCCCTATCATGTAACTGACATGTGGGGTCACAGTTTTTATTATTTTCCAAATCAAATTACCACATAAGCGCCATATCAATGCCACGTCAAATGAAGACCAAGTCAAATTAGCTACGTAGACGCCACGTCAACTGAAACCGCCGTCCAAACCGTCTTGGACTTATTTTGCATCGGTTTTAACAGTTGAGGAATCCGTTGTATCTGGTTTTTCGGTTGAAGAACAAAAATAAGATTTGTTGACAAGTTAAGAGGCCTCAGATGAACTTATTACTATTTTCATACATCATTATATTCTGGGCCCTATGGGTCACCCGCGGGTGAGACCCTAGCCTTGCCCCCACATAGTTTCGGGGGCCCGTTCCCGCAGCCCCGCGGGTTGGAATTTCACCCCGCCCCCGTCCCTATAGGAGCGGTACCCGGCGGGTCCTTGCCTCCAACAGGGAAATTGCCACCCCTATCTAACTGTACTAGTTTCAGTGGACCAACCAACAAAACCTGCAACTGCCATGGACCACCACTTCTAACTATATGGCTGGCAGTCGCAGAGAGAGCACTCAACGAGCCGGCAAATCCATGTGAAAGAGCGCTTGGCACGGTCAGAAACTCAGAAACGGATGCCAACGTTTTCCCTGTTCAGAACAAGAAAGAAGGAACATCACCATCACAGGCAGTGTTTGCTAAATCAACTCTGAAAAAAACAGCATGCCATTCACTGCAGATTAGTGCTGGTGCCAAAACGTGAGGTTACTGCGAGTGCAGCAAAAGGATGTACCGTGGATTTCTCGTACATTTTGCTTGAATGATTTTTTACTGAATTACAGGGCCTGAAAAAGGTGAAAGGTACTGAAATAACAGCCCAGCGGCAAAATCATTGCACATGGGTAAAGAAGCAAATCTTCCAGTGAGCTGCCTGGATCTCATCGACCTGAGTAGGTCAGATCCTTTATTTATGTAGTCTAGTGTCGTATGAGATTGGCAAGACAATGTTTTCACACGGTGTTGAACGAGTGTACGTATGTTGGAGACAACCAGATGATGAGTTGATGATGGAAAAGAACGGACGAATTTGGTATAGTATACCACAATTTGAAGATGCATCTGGGTTGTCACCGAAACTTGATAGAAAATTTATTGAGACGGTTCATTTAGTTATGGTTCTTGGGCGAAGAATGGAGCCAAACAGTTCGGATTCTTTAATGATTAAAACTCAGGTCCACACATTAAGGCGATAATTTCAATAATTAACCCCATACATCAAATTTTTTTAGCTCGGCTATTGCATTTCTAGAAGACATCACGGTAAATTTAACCTGGCACATAATTCACCTCCATAAAACTGAAAAAAGGTTCATTATTCCCATAACTATTTCATCAAACAACAACCTTCATGCTTTCTTCATACTAGCAGGACGGATCACACAATGCAGCCTCCTCGATTAGGACTTGTCGGTTAATTTTTCATGAGGGTATTGGATAGAATCGAGGGGAATCAATTCCACAACTATTAAGGTGTGAAATCAATTCCTTCTAATCACGCTGAATCCATGCATAGGAATTAGCCGAACATGCCAGTTTATATTTCCTTTGTCTAATATAGAAGGAACATTATTAACAACTCAAACTATTTGTCAACTTCAGGTAGGAGTGGAGGTAGATTTTATACTGCAATATTAGGAATATATAAATACATGACTACCATTATGCCACCTATACAATGCGAACTACGGAAAAGGGTGAAAGAAAGAATGTCAAGTAAAGAAAGAAAGACGGAAAGAAAGAACGGCAAGTAAACCGCTGAGAGAAGTTTTACAGAGGAACGTTTGGATTGGATGTTTGCATCAAACACGTGTATAAAGTTTCACGCATAGATTTTGACTGTAACGAGCCTCACCACTACTCTGTTAAGAAGGGTGAACCTAATTAAAGCAGCGAAGATTTGCACAGGTAATGAACGCCTGAAGGAACATGGACTCGCTGCTCTCCAACTTGCATAAAATTTTTCCAAGGGGTGTAGCTTTCTTCCCACTTCGTTTAAACATCTAGGCAAAACAGCTGATACTAGCATCTCAAATGTACAGTTGTGATTCAAAAGAATGACAGAATCTCATCTAATTATTGACACTACTGAAACTGCTTGTTGATTCATCATACTTCCACCTGTCAAATAAATTGCAGAGAGCAGATTATGTAAAGTTTGTTGAGCACAACAAATAAACTGAACCAGTCGGAATGAACAAAAATTATAAGCAATTACTCTGAACAGAAACCACTGGGTTCTGAAAATGGATTCCAACAGACATTAATCAAAGTTTGCAAAGTTGGAAGTTGCCTTCTCACTACTAAAATATGAGGAAATATTCAACCACAAATATATTCAACTACTAAAAGATATTATGACAAGTTGCCAACAGATACTCTTGTATGCACAAAGATTTCAACCATGCAGCTTACTGCTGCTTGAGCGCAAGCTATGTGGAAAGGGGTACAAAAATTTTGTGCGCAGTAGTATACATAAGTTGCACCTGACTAGGGCTGTCAAAAATGCTCGAGACTCGTGAGCTACTCGAGCTTGATTCGTTATGAGCTTGATTCGAGCTCGGCTCGTCTAAGAATCAAATCGAGCTCGAGCTTGACTTTAAGCTCGCGAGCCTACCGAGCCGAGCTCGAATAACTCGGCGAGCCTCAACGTCTGGCTCATGTTCTTTCTCCTAGGCATTTCCTCCCCCTCTCTCTCTCTTACTCTTCAAATTCTCTAGTAGGAGTAGTACTGGAGTAGCACAACTGCACATGTACTAGCAGTGGCAGGGCAGGAGGGAGCACTATGCATTTGTTGTCCCATTTCCCAACAAGAGAGTAGGAGTACTAGTGTGTACTAGTAGGAGTACTAGTGTGCGGCTTGCACAGTTGCACTAGTATACATAGGAGCACTAGTATATTATTTTTAGCCATCTAATCATGCATCACAGTGTTAGCTTTTTCTTTGAATGGGATGAATTGTTCCAGTATTCTACCGCACGAAGCAGGCTTGAGAGAAGCTCGAAGCTCGAACGAGCCGAGCACGAGCTCAACTTCAAGCTCGTGACAAACCTAGGCTCGGCTCGAGCTCGACTCGAGTCTATAGCGAGCTCGAGCCTACACATGGAAGCTCGCTCGAGCTCGGCTCGTTGACAGCCCTACACCTGACCACATCACAGGCCCATGTACTGGAAAGCAGCAGAACGTACATGTGGAATGGTCGAACGCGTACATTACACTATGATCTTACAAACCTAGTTTTCCTGGAACCTACGAGTCAAGATTTTGATTCAGACGGTAGATTTTACCATTTGGATCACAATCCAAACAATCTTAGCTGGCAGAATGAATCCTAATCAAGCAGAGTAGACAAGATCACTATGTGCTCCGATCAATCCTTGACTTGGATCCCAAATAATTTGTTAGCTGCAACTATTTCTTACTATAATTTGTGTTACTAATTCATTTAAAAAAAGATATGCTAGTAACACTCCTGCGTGTTACTAACTCGCCTTCTAACCTTACAATAGTCTTATATGACTAGGTTGTATGAAGGGAAAAATTTGGACAACTATTACAAATCTCTTTTGCCCTTTGTCACATTTTGAGAAAAAAATATTTTGACAATTGAATGACCCTGGAGGAAGTGTATTACAAATATCTTTTGCCCTTTGTCACATTTTGAGAAAAAAATATTTTGACAATTGAATGACCCTGGAGGAAGTGGCCTTTATGTTTGGTAGTTCGGTACTGTATTCAATATATGCATTGACATGAATTAAGGCCAAGTAGGATGATGTATTAGATAATACAAGTTTCAAATGTTTGTTACATAAAAAAGATCATGATACACAATTTCTATTTTAATAGTGTGACTCCTGCAAGCCAAGTCTACTATTTTCTCCAAGTAAGGCAGGGCTGTGGCTGCCCAATGGGTTGGTTGCACAGCCAGGTTCCAACAAATGTATATTAGTTAACATTAACTTTTTTAAAGGATTTGATTTCAAATTTTAACTCATCATTCACCCACTAATTTAAGACAAAGCATCAAAAAGACAAACCTGCAGAGGAAAATTGGATGTAGCCTACTACTGACAACCTGACTTCCCTTAGTTTCTTCTCTAAACTTGTCAACATGAAGAACCTCACATTGGCCACAAATCGCGGAAACTGTTACAGTTCTTTGATTACAGGAAGCAAATACCTGGAAGAACATAACACCATCAAAGAAATGTAGTAAGTTATTCTCATTTATGATTTATCACAACAAGAACAATCAGTTCCTCACCGTGAAAATTTGGCAATATATTGCCACACAAGAGAAGCATAAAAAATGTCTAATCTAATTTATCGATACACGAGATTTCCAGCACTGCAGATTAAAAATCTACTATTTAACAATCAGCTATTTAAAAGCCAAATGTGAATTACATAGATTTTTCATGCTATTTAAAAGAACTATTGATAATGCAAATTACATACTTCCCCTAGCCAAAAGCAATCCTCCTAAACAGATTATATATTCTTCACAATGGTTAGTTGGCTCACCTCATTCTCTTCTGCAGTGCATGGTTTACTGATCAATTCTGGAATATCTGAAGCAAAGAAATATGGACTAACCAAAGCCATCTTAGACCTAGAATCATGCTCTTCCCACAGTGACTGCAAAAGGTAACAATAACTTGACTATTTTAGAGATAATACACTTACAAAGTCTACCACAAGATGATCTGACAGGTGCATAGGGGGCGGTTACTCAAACACCCCAGTACGCAGAGGGGTTTGCGCCCCATATCATACAAGAGTATGTAGGGTATATTAAGAGGAAAGATACCTGCAGCTTGGATGGAGCAGACTCCTTATCTTTGGAGGCAACCAAAATATGATCATCAAGATTGTATGCTATACCATCAATGTTACAAGAGTAATAGTAAGTCTTGTTCTCGACTACTCTGAGAGGATCACCAACCCAACCCACAATACTGTGATCTGTGCTGCAAACAATAGTTTTATCCTTAGCATCGCCTATAACAATTTCATTCTTTGTAGATAAATCCCCATTCGATGTCAACTCATGAACATTGCCACGTTCTGAAATGGCATTATTTTCCATTGTTCCCACACCTTGAGGTTTTCCTCTTCCCTTATCAACAGCTGCAGAAGCAGAGCCTGATTGTGATTGTTCTTTTGAACTCTCCAAAGCCAACTTATCACTATTATGTACAATCCTGTTAGCTTCACTGGAGTTTTTATCGATAACTGTTCCATCTGCTGCAAGTTCTTGATTATTATCCTTTGTAGTTCGATTTTCAGAAACTCCCTGCGAAGGAACTCCACTAATAAGATTAACCTTTGGTGCAACAACAGTTCTTGTAACCTTGCCATATTTCGGAGGCAGGGGTTTTCCCTTGCTACGAGCTACACATGTTGGACAATACCACTCAGCTTTAGGTGGTAGAACATTGACCCCGTCATGCTGAAGGCATTTTAAGTGTATGCCCCTCTCACAAGCATCACAAATAATCATACTATGTATGTCGATGATAAAAACTTTACATACTTGACAACCTAGCCCACTACGCATATACTCAGTTGATGGTGGGATCCAGTTAGGATGATTGACAGGTTGATGCAGAACTTGTTGAACCGTTTTTGCAATTGCACTATGATTGGGAAAGGTGGATTGTCGCTGAATAAATGATACTCCAGGTCGAGATTGATGTGTCATACCATTTTTTACGGTGATGGGTCGAATTACAGGTGCCTTTTCATGCTGAGGCGTCCCTTCATGACTGGAAGAAGGTACTATATTTGGATTAGACATAGTTGCTGTAAGATGAGCTGATTTATTTGCTTGACCTATAGTTGCTGCAGTGACAGGTGACTTAGGCAAATCAGTCAGGGGATCAAAGATGACCAATATGAAACTAAAATCATCAAAATGGCATGGTGTAAGTATTCCACAATAAAGAAGTTACTTTATTTGTCCATTCCACATTTCTCCCCTGGAGCACATGAGGATTTGTGGAAGTGTTTGTGGCTTTTTCTAAGAGTTGGACTGGGATCATTCTATAAAGAGAGGACCAGCAACAATTCACAATCATCACAGAGGACTTCAGAGAAGTACATAACTAAAAGGATGAATAACATTCCCAGACTGGCAATCATGTTGTTGTCAAGATGTCAAATTTCAGTAATTTTATTTAAAGCATAAAATAAACTTCTGAATAGCTGATTAAAGTGGGACATAAACCTTTGGGAGGAACATGAGGAAAAATAGAACTGCTATTAAGCTCCAAATGGTTTTACTTCCTTTTCAAATGCAATGTACACCATACAAATTATACATTGAAAATGTAAATGACTATTGCAGAACACCTAAGACACAAGTAATAGTGTTCACCTAGTCGCTTTTTGGTGCCTCGCCTACTGGAGACTAGGCTGACTAGTCGATGATTCCAATATAGCCAACAGTAAATTTTCTACACAAGCAGCTAGTTACTTTTGACATGTTTCATAGTATATTTGGAGACCATTGAAAGAATGAAACTGAGATTTGACATTTCGATTTTAAAAATTCAAACCGCACACACTGCAACTGGTGGCAGGGGAGCACGTCGGGGCATGGGTCTGGGTGAGGGGAATACCAGAAGGGGCAGCATGGGGCTGGTGCAAGGAAACCCAGCAGGGTTGTCGGTTGCACGCCCGGAGGACAAACAGGGGCGCCGGCACGCGGGGCCAGCATGGAGGGAGATGGGAAGGGGCAAGTCGGCGGGTGGGATCAGAAAGAGGAAGTGAGAGAGCCAGAGGAGCCAGGGGGATTTATGGAGTCAAGTCTAACCCTAGTTATCTCCACCCCCAGCCAGTGCCTTTGGGCCCAAAAATTTCAGCCCATGCCAGTTTTCTATCTTTTAGTTGGCCTGCCTAATTTTTTTCTCAAACACGCAGGCTGCGCATCATTATATTAAGAAGGAAAAGAGTCCAAAAGGACTCAATTAAGCCCATTAGGTCAGGGTTTAGTACAAAACGGCTGCCAAAGAAATACAAAAGACTAGTCACAGACTAAGAACTGACCAATTAGGCCGACCAACCCACCGATTACCCTATGTTCAGGAGCCAGGTCGGTTTGCCGCTGACTAGTGACTAGTTAGGCTAGTCAGCTGACTAGGCAAACACTTAAAATAAAGAAGTCAATTGATGTACATTAAAAATGTATAAACTACTGGGAGTAACTATTCTGAGAAATACCAGACCATATTCCTATAAGCTATTTACTCAACTTAAATCTGTAGTTTTGTGCATGATATTAACAATATGAGTATGAGGGGGATAATCTTCACTCTTTCAAAAAGCGGAGTTGGGAGTGATGGTGTGCTCTATGACCCGTTTGTGCAGTTTGCATGATCCTTTCTAAAAAAATTACTTTGTTCACACAAATATGTCGGTAACTAATTGATACCATGTAGATTATTTTGTTTCATTTTTTAGTTAGATCATATGGCACAATTATTTATCATCTGTCAGAACGCACATGTGCTGTGCTAGTATTTATAAAATTTACACAAAATTCACGAGATAAAACATTAAGCACTATGTCCTAATTCAAGCAAGAAACCTAATACTCATAGATAATGAATAGGAATAACAATTATAACATTGATACTGTAAGAAAACCAGTCATGAAAGAATATGTTTATAATACCTCCATTTTGTGTGCAAGTAGGACTATTAACACCCTTTTCCACTTTAATATTTGTAGGACCAACAGATGGTACTGAAACAATTGAAGAGGTACCAGCTGCTTTCACTCCTGATGGTGATTCATTTAACTGTGTCTGCTTCAAGATATTTGGGGATGGTATAGTAGGTGGGGTTGTGACAGGGAATGAGGCAACAGCTGAAATATTCATGGGCAACCCAGTAGTTGGCTTAGAAGCTCCATGTTGGAAGACAGTTGTTGCTCTCGTGGCTGTTGTTTGAGACACATTAGTTGTTGGATACACTGGAGCCTCCTTGATTTCTTCCATCTATGACAAAATAAAAAAGGGGAAGAAAAGCACAAACTTTAGAGATGCATACATTTTCCCTTTAGAAAATCTGCATTAATAAAACCAAATATGTTACAGAAAATTTGCTGCACAACATGTATTTATTACCATTTTGAAATATTAGAGATCAACAAGAGGGGTTTCAAATGGCAGCTTTTACTTGAGCCCAAGAACATTTGGAATGAAACATTAATATATGAGGCACATGGGGCATGCCTAGATATGGCATTCCCTCCGTTCATTAATACATGACATTTTTAAAACTAAAATTAGTATTTTAGTGTTAAAAGTGTCATATATTAATGACCAGAGGGAGTATAAAACAGAGACTATGGATATTTTGGGTATAGTTCATCTCCTCTCAAAATCGTCAAGAAACCATAGCGTGTTCCAGTGAAGTTCATGGATCCATAACTGTTCTCAGATTTTACTGGTCATGTAGAATTTCCGGACAAGTGTCCTGAAGCCGATCATGCCAAATTATGGTTGCAGGAGGAACTTTTGCTCTTTTAGTAAGATATACATTGATACCACCTCCTTATGACAAATTCCAAACATTTCCTCTTGAAACAAAATAATGCAGCAGAAATAACCTTATGGATTCAAAAACCATAACTTATAAAACCTGAGGGGGAATTGTGTAACATAAGTTATGGTTATACATAATTTCAGGTAAGTTGTGACGACAAGGACCTACATGAGAGCGTGGTGAAAGCTCTACGTAACATTATATGTAATAAAATTTTCTGGATGAACACTTTCTAGTGTCAGCACATCACATGGGCTTGTTTGGTTGGAGAGATGAAGTTGAATGGGATGAGATGGCAGGGATTTGTTTCGTTAGTTGCATGGAATGATATCCGACGTTACAAGATTAAGTTTGATAATTTTTATTTTATTTTGGCGTTTTACTTATTATTCTGATATTCCCGTTGTTGTTTGGTGGAATTAATTGTTGGTTCTATTACTGACCAACACACATGTTACTACATGTGAGAGGTCCAGTGAGATGCCTTCCAGTGATGGTGCCATTCAATGAATTTCGTTGAACGGAAAAGCATATCCTCTGGCAGCATAATTCTTAGAAGTTGTACACTTAGAGTAGGTACAATAAAGGACTATAAGTCAACTATAAGCACATGTGGAGGATACAAAAGATGAGAGAGAAGAGAAACGAGCTACAGATTTGTACCTAGCCGCAGCACGGACGTCAAGACGCTATGTGTGTATGACAAGTGGGACCAATTATTAATGATGTAGTACTCCCTCTATCCTATAATATAAGGCGCGGCCAAAGTTGGCAGAGTCTCCAGAACTAATCTTTATCTTATAATTTCTCATATATTATAAAGTTTGTAGCAACAAAATTATAACCATTTGAAAGTAAATTTAAATCTCAATCTAATGATATAATTTTTAACAAATAAAATTTATTTCATATTATACTAAGTGTTGGTCAAATGTTTTAAAGGTTGAATCTTGAAATGCGTGCACGCCTTATATTATGGGATGGAGGGAGTATATATTTGTAGTTAAGTATTGTATGAATTGACTATAGATGATTTGGAGCTAATAGTTGGCTATACTATTAAACTTACTCTTAGTACTCCACCATCCTGAACCATTTATTTCAATTCACCAAACCAAACACAGGGATCTCTTCGAGATTATTCCATATACCCCTCTTGTACGTACGCACATCCAATCGAAACATATACTCACAGAGTGAACGAGAAGAAGAGCTGGAGTGTGAAAGAGGCTTATGTGGGCAAACCTTGCGCTTGGTGAGGAGGATCCTCTCGGCGATGGAGGCCCTGCGCGGGCGGTAGCCCATGGCGGAGGGGTCCCTGCCGCGGGCGAGGCCGAGGTCCTCCACGAGCGCCCGCACCGCCTCCCTCGGGAACAGCTCCCTGGGCCGCGCCAGCAACTCCGCCGCCTCCAGCAGCCGCTCCCGCGCCACCGCCGCGAGCGCGCGCTCCGCCGCCGTGGGCGCGCCCCCGCCCCGCGCCTGCCCCGCCGCCGCGAGCACCATCACCATCCCCGCCACCCGCCCCATCTCCCCCCTCCGCCGCCGCTTCCGCTCCCGCCCGCTCCCCATCCCCCGTGCGCGGGAAGGGGAGGGGAGGGGCTTCTAGAAGGTTCGGGAAGGGCGGGGGGAGGAGTTTTGAAATGGCTCGGTTTGGCGCGAGGGTGGCGGTGGATCGTTGGAGCGCGGCGCGAAGCGAAGCGAGGGGGGGCGGAGAGCGAGCGAGATTGGGGAAGATTTTTGCGACACAGCCACACAGTGGATTGATTTTCTCACGCCCTTTTCTCCTTTTTTTTTTCCCCTAATCTTTCCTGGTTCCCGACGTTGGGCTGTCTGGGCCTTCGTGGAGGGCCAGAGGGGTGAGGGGTGAGGGGTAGGGCTAACGATAGTAAAGCAAAAAGCCCACGTATTTATATAGAATAGGTTCATTCGAGGTCCCTTAACTTTACACCGAATTCGATTTTCGTCCTCGAACACAAAAACCGGATAGAACCGGTCCCTAAACTATCAAAACCGGTGCAAACGAAGTCTGGTTTTGGCTGATGTGGCGCCAACATGACTAGTTTGACTTGTTCTTCGTCCCACATATTAATTAGCCGCGCGCGTCTTCCTCTCGTGCCACCGTGGGGATCTGTTTCAGCAGAAGCAGCAGTCCGCCACAGCCGCTGCCGCCACCGCCGCTGCCGAGCCACCTCCAGGCTGGTCGAACCTCCTGACAGACCTCGCCAGATCGTCTCCTCGTTGCTGTCCCACCATGACCGCCTCAGCTTCGTCGCCGTGTGCAGCCAGTGGCACCTTGGCACGCTTTGGCAGCATCTGCTGCTGCCGCTGCCGTTGCCGTGGCTGCTCAACCTGATGCACCCGCGCACCTACCAGAACCTCGCCGCCGGCGTGGTGCACCAAATCCCCAGGAGAGCACGCACGTGCTCTGGTGTCTCTTCCTACGACAATGGATGGCTCATGGGCAGTAACATGACCGGGACATATTACGACTAATTTGCGAGACTAATCTTTTAAACCTAATTGCTCTATAATTTAACAATGTAGTGCTATAGTAATCATTTACTAATGATGGATTAATTAGGCTTAATAATTTCGTTTCGTAGTTTACTGACGGATTATGTAATTAGTTTTTTATTAGTGCCCGAATACCCCATGCGACACCCTATATAATACCCGACGTGACACACCAAAACTTTACACACCTGGATCTAAACACCCCCTTATACCGGGTACCTAGGATTTAGGATTTAGTATCCAACTTATAGATATGTTTGAACACCGCAAAGGTAATAGTTCCAACATATATTTCTATCTCTACTATTATAAAAGTTAAAATGTTTCCAAACATCTTGTAAGTCATCCTACTTCGATATGATGTCGGCACGCTGAGTACGTGAGTGCGTCCGCTTGCCAAGCCAATGCACCAGCCCATCCACCCAGTCTGATACTGTCTCTTTCTTCTTTTTCTTTACAGCTCACAACAACGTTATAGACAGTCCATCCAGTTCGATTATTTACCCCATCCAGTTCAATTATGTTCCTTTCTTTGTTTTTTTACGGGAAGTACCATTCTTCTTCTAAATAAAAGTTTGTTTCTAAATAAAAGTTTGTTTCCTATTCTATTTTCTAATTAGTTTATAAACCAAGACTTTTCCCACACATCACCATTAAAACATTACATATTTATATATTTATTAAGTTCTTCTGATCCCTGCTTTGACACAAAGCGATACGCATACATGTTTTAGTCATGTCGTGCATGACACACATAGGTAGAAAATACACAAGAAACTCAATTAAGTAATAGATCGATCAATGATAATACAATATATTTATCATGATCACGCGTCGAGTCCGCTGCTATATCTTTGATCGGTTCCTCCGCGTGTCCGTTTACATTGCCTACACCCATTGTCACTCGCACTCCTCTAGCACAATTTCAGCTACAATTTATTGATTTCTTTGTTTTGCAATCCCATGTATCTCTCTATTGATTTTTTAATGGATTAGAGTGCAATTTGTTGACAGATCAAAGTCCTTTTCCCTCCGTGCTCAAGTTGAAAATTTGGAAACGGTCCACAGTTGCAGGCATGGTCAGACCCCTAGCTAACCCCATCCTTCTATGTTCATCGCACTGTTGTGACTGACAAAGGGCGAGGGAGGGATGATTGGGACATAAACATCCTGATTTTTTTTAAGTAGCTACTAAATATTTAGTTTATTTCGAATACCCGTTGCAACGTATGAACATTTTTTCTAGTAATACTAAATTGGCCAAAAATGCAACAAGATATATTAATTAGTCATCTTAGGCCCTGTTCCTTCTAAGCAGGTGGTGGATATTTTCAGCGCATGCGAAACGAGAAAACTCATTAGCACATAATTAATTAAATATTAATTATTATAAAATTGAAAAGTGGATTTATTTGTTTTTTTCAAACAACTTCTATGTTTAGTTCCCTTCAAACTTCAAACTTTTCCGTCACATAAAATGTTTGGACACATATATGGAGCATTAAATGAAGTTTTGAGTGGAGAAAAAGAACTAGGCCTTAGAAACATCTTAAAATTAACAATGAAGTAAAACTTTATCTTGAAAAATCTTTTTTATATGACTAGGTTGCTATATTATATCTTGTTGGGTCTAGGCTTTCTAATGGCGATAAAATGTGTCCATTATCTATCTTCATATTTCAACCATCTATATTAATACAATAGTACAGTAAGATGTGAAGGATCGAAACTGAGAATTAAAAAGAACAGTACAAGCTCTAATCATTAAAAAGAACATACGAAGAGAATTTGTATAAATGAATCATGAATGTGAATATATCAATGAAGGAGAAACTATGTACATTTATCTTAATGTACAGATGTATATGTACAAGTGTGCACTTACTATTATGCCCAAGGCCCTTTTTGGCCCAAACGTGAGGTACACATATACCCTATAAAACCCGAGGGGATCTCAAAATTGGTAAAGTTGCCAGGCTGCTTGCATTAGCGAAGGCAACATCAGAACAAAGTGTCAACTTCTCAGGAGAAGTAAGAACGTAGATGTCTTTGAGTGTGAAACCATGGACCACAGGTAAGATAACTCCATGCCCCAGCCGTGAGTTCAAATAGGGCATGCAAACCGTGTTCAAGAAAACACGAATCACTCCCTGCAAGCAGAAACTCGTTATCATTTGGTATTAAGCATGAACCGAGAAAACAAAAACCTTCACTGATAAAGTGATAATGGTGTCCCGCACATGGATAGAAACAAAATGATCAGAAATAGCCACTTAGCCAGGCCCAGTAGTTAACTAACAGACTAATCAAGCTTGCTATAATGCTGATAAAAAGCAATCTAGGAAAGATAAACTTGTATAAAGAAAGCTAATTTTTCTGTTACCTGAATCAATGACATGTGGAAGTTACCAATTTTGCTCCACTTCAAGGCAAGGGAGAAATTGCCCAATTCAACCTTACCATATACTTTATTGCCTGCTGCCTCTGCGACACCTGAGGCACTTACTACCTACCAAGAAAAAAAATGATTCCAGTAGTTAGAATCGCACTCAGGAATACAGATATATGATCTGGAAGACACAAAAAGAGATGTTGAAGTAGTGCAAGCAGGGTCGGTCAAATCGTCCGCAGGTACATAAACTGGGCCTTGTACACACCGCCCGTCATACTATAGGAGCTGCCCATGTTTGGAGTCATTACCGATCTATAGGGCATATGCGAACACATACTTCACGAGCAATAAATTTATTAAATTCAAAGTGAATTCCCCCAGTCAAGTTCAATCTAGAAGAGTATGGCCTAACTATTCTAGAGGATTGTGTGATAGTATTGCGGAATACTGAGCAGACTTAATTACTTCCAGCCTGATAGATGGCGTTCATTTTCTTATAAGCACCTCTCTATTCAAGATGCATTCAACATGGGCTGCGACTAAAAAGATCGTTTTTTTTTGCACTTCGTTCAAATAAGAGTTGTAGTAATGGCAGAATCTTCTCTCCTTAGCAATGAACATCATCAAAAGCACAACATCATAAATGAAGTTTAGCAGTTGAGGATTCTTACTACAGAGATGCATGCAACTGGAATTGTCTCTTTGTCATGTAAAACATCAATTATCATGTCCGCATATATAGTAGCACCAATCTTTTCAGACGTAATCCTCATCACCGGGGGTGAAGCCATTGAAATGTTTAACAGCATGTCATCATTGGGATAGCTCCAGTACAAGCGAGGAATGATAAATTTCCAACTAGCTGTATTTAGTAGAGATTGATCGGGAATTTTGTCAACTACCCAATGCATTGAACCTGCCTGAAGAAAAAAAAAGTAGCTGACATAAAATCCAAGAAACAAGCAACAACGCAAGTGAAAAGTAAATATTCATGAATTATTGTTTTGACACAAATGTTTTGATTACCTTGAAGTAAACCTCTAATGCAGAATTGAAAACAGCTTCATCAAGTGAAAGCAGAAGCATTTTGGATGCCCCACCACATGATAATGAAAGTTGGGGATGCTTCTGCGAATTGCTAAGCTTAGCAGTTGCAGAAGAGAATAATCCATTGATATCAAACTCAATTGAGGAATTTCCATACTGCGGATCGTTAACAAAAGTCATGTTCAAAGCAGAAATATTGTCCAGATTGACACTCCTAGGAAGGCTTTGAAGCAACGAGTCAAGTTTGGATGTGCCGTCAATAATATTTTCTGGTATTGCCTTCTCAACTGCAGCTCTAATATGGTCCTCGAAAGCATTTATTAACCTTCAAGGAAGGAGGGGAATAAGGCACAGTGATTAATCTAGGAGTATAGACATTTGGCTCTTGACATGCTTCAGAATTAAAAAGAATAACACGGGATCATTTATCTGAATATACATGTGTACCAGCAAATAGTAATATAGTGAATGAAATCTTATCTCTGTCAATCGACCCCAAAGGAAAGACTCAAACAAAACCACCAAAGCACCAAACAGAAGAGACGTTTTATTTGATAATATTAGCTCTGACTTGACAAACATGCCACGACTCCAAAATTCATGTTTAGTAGAAATAATGAAGCAGATGCAAAGGAAAGGTTGCCATCACTGTCAGAATGCACAGATATATGCCAATTTTGTACAGAAGTCTGAACATTGCAATATGTAATTTCCTCGACAAAGGACCCAGTGTAGGAAGAAATCATGGGTTAAAGGAGGCCTCGAATCATCAAAACAAGTATTTCAGATCTTAAACTTCAAAGCAAAGGCTCAGATGGAAAATCGACTTGCCATAATTTAAAAAGTAACATTTATGGATTCTTTAACACAAGAGATACATACCCCTGATAAAACCAAGATGCTCCACCATCCAGGGATATCACTAGGTCCTTGACATTACATCCACATTGCAACACAGAGAGAGACAAACTCCCGTTATAATTCTTAATTTGCATGGTTATACCAACTTCCATTCCTTGAACCTTAGACACAGAAAGCACTTATGAGTTACTAACAAAGAACAAAAGTAAAAGATAAAGCAGAAAATTACCTAAAACAGCTTGTTCACCCTATGATATTTACATGAAACATGAATGATACAACATCACATTTCATAAGTCACAGCTATAGGCATCATTTGCCAATGGGATCAACAGCCCCATCAAGTTGAGCAAAATGTGATAGATGTCTGAATCTGGAGGGTGATCCATGCAGGAAAGAGTGGACAGGGAAGCCACGAAGATGTTGTCCCCCATGAAATTGCAATTAACTATGCAATTTTTTCACTTCTGACCCTTATTACTTAAGACATTACAAATATGAGATTGCTTCAAGAATTATAATCAATAGTTCAGTATTACCATGGACCTAATACCTAGCTAAATTTATAAGGTACTATACCAACATACAAATGCCCACCTAAAAGTTTAATAAAACAAGTTGCTTATCAAACTCCCGCACAATTCATCGAACTAGTGCCACAGTTCTTTTTTAAGGGGAAAAAACATTCATCGTGAGCAATTTTTCCTACAAAAGCAACAAAACTAGCAGCATTTGCAGCAAATGCACCATAATCTAATTTTCTACCATGATGCCCAAACCAAATCTAGCCCAATCCACATCGAATTGAATCCTTTCTTAGGCAACAATCAACACGAGAACTAGGCAAAAGGTTAGTACTACCAGGATAGAAGCGGTGCCTCTGTCGGAGATCTCGATGGGGAAGAGCCAGGAATCGTAGTAGTAGCTCCATGCCATGCTGAGGTTGGCGCTGACGCCGGAGGCGACGACGACGAGGGCGGTGTCCCCGGGGTGGATGGCGGAGTCGTCGCCGACGTCGAGGTGGAAGAGCGTGATGTTGGTGGCGGCGACGCGGATGGCGCCCAGGAAGGGCACCCGCACGGCCTTCTCCACGCCGGGGAGGCGCAGCGGGGTCAGCGACCGCACCGCCTCCCCGATCAGCACGCCCTTGGCGAAGTCCAGGCCCTTCTCTGCCACCACCGCGGAGGCGTGCGCCTCGCCGGAGGCCGCGCCGGCGGGGGAGAGGAGGGCGAGGAGGAGGAGGGGGAGGAGATGGAGGTTGGCCATGGCGGTGGGTGGAGGAGTGGAGAGGCGGGCGGCCGAAGGAAGGAGAAGGCTGAAGGCTGGCGTGCTACTGGTTGAGTCGAGACGACGGCTGCCAATTTTCCGCAAGTATTTGGATTTGCTTTTATGAAAATTTACTAAGGTTGTGTTTGGAACTCCAAGTTCCCAACCCCTCTCCCTCGTTTTCCGCGCGCACGCTTTTCAAACTGCTAAACGGTGTATTTTTTTGTAAAAAGTTTCTATACAAAAGTTGCTTAAAAAATTCAAATTAATCCATTTTTTAAAAAGAAATTAGCCGATTCTTAATTAATCACTCGCTAATGGATCGCTCCGTTTTCCGTACGGGGAGATTGGGTTCCCATCCCTGCTATCCGAACACAGCCTACTGTGTTTGGCACTACACTATTTTAATTTCAGTTTCAACTACCTTCTCATTTATTTTTCTCATTTTTCTCAGTAGACTTCCAAACTATTATACGATTTTTCTAAAAAAAATTAATCTATTTTTAATATTTTTAACTAATACTTAATTAATCATGAGTGAGAGGGTTCACAACCCGTTGATTCAAGCACACTCTAGTTCTCTAGTTCAGGTACATGTATATTTTTCAATAATTTATCAATAGTTAGTTTCTTTTAGGCCAAGGGCCAACATTTTGTGTAGAAAATTAATGAATGGATCCAAACATCCAATCATTGCAGCGTAGGTCGAACTAGTACTCCCTCCATTCTATTTTAATTATAGCTATGATTTTCCATGCGTAACTTTGACCGTCCATCTTATTTAATTTTTTTATTTAAAAAATAAAAAACATAAGTCACATATAAATTATTATTCATGTTTTATCATCTCATAACAATAAAAATACTAATTAAAAAAATCAAATAAGATAGACTGTTCAAGTTGGATACAGAAACTTTTGGTTGCATTTAAAATGGGACGGAGGGAGTAGTTATGTGCATAATTAATCATGTGGTATTAACTTTTATTTATTAATTAAGTGATTGGTAGGAGTACTACATTGGAGTACTAAATTTCATCTCATGATCGATTTACATATTCAAAACTAAAATATCAAATACGTTACATATTTCCTTGTTTAAATACAATAATGCTACGTCACCATCGTGGTGTGGCAATTATATCGTCTTTTTTGGCATATTTGGGTGAAACTTGCACGTTATTCCTTTTCAAGCATGACAGAGGTGATACTTCTAAAGCTAAACAATCTTTGTTTGCATGAGAATGATAAAGTGCTTGAGTGATTGACCAAGGCACTTTTATCACGGAACTTACAAATTACACATGCATGATGAAAGTGAAAAGTACCCACTGATAGCTCACATTTTGTTTCCACGAGTACAAGCTCAAGGGTCCTTTAAGAAGATAAAACTTTCAAAGATCACGAGTACATATTAATCTAGAAACATGCATAGCTAAAATAATTTTAGATCCATATAGGCCTTGTTTAGTTCCCCTGGCAAAACTTTACACCCTGTCACATCGAATGTTTGGACAGATGCATAGAGTATTAAATATAGGCTAAACAAATAACTAATTACACAGATTGCGACTAATTTGTGAGACGAATATTTTAAGCCTAATTAGTCCATGATTTGACAATGTGGTGCTGCAATAAACATTTGCTAATGACATATTAATTAGGCTTAATAAATTTGTCTCACGGTTTACTAACGGATTCTGTAATTAGTTTTTTATTAGTCTACGTTTAATACTTCAAATGTGTGCCGGCATACCCGATGTGACACGCCAAAACTTTACACCATTGGATCTAAACACAGCCATAATACAAGCAAAAATTATCAAATCAAAAATATTTTTTATAACTCAAATTTAAAATCTCGAGTTAAAAGTTTCAAATCTGAGTAGAAAGTTTTCAAATCTCGAGTTGAAAGTTTTCAAAATTTATCTTGCAAATTTAAATTCCGAGTTGAAAATTTTCAAAGTTTGTGTTGAAAGATTTCAAAATTTGACTTCAAAGTTTAAATCTTAAGTCGAAAGTTTTCAAATCTAACTTGAAAGTTTTCAATCTATTAGAAAAAAGAAAAAGTTCTTGTAGGTACTATGATTAGCACTAATCACTAATCACGTCATCATTAGTGCTAATCACATGGTTAGCGACGGGGGCGTAACATACGCGTCGGCCTTCGGAGCGCGTAAGCGTTAGGAATCCCCTTCCTTTTCTTCCCAAACTCATTAGTTATGTCCTTGACCATGTCATGGACCTTATCTCCGGACAAATTATTAGCAGCAGACTGAAGTTCTCTCTTACCGTTTGAAATTTTTCTTCTTTCTTCTAAATGCGTGACGTAGTGGGAGCCATCTCCTATGACCCATGTAATCTATCTTTCGTGATTTCTTCAGCCACCTACTACGTGTATCTTCCATACAGTCGGAGCAAGCCTTCTTTCCTTTGACAGTTTGTCCTGAAAGATTACCAAGTACAAAGTACTCATTAATGGTGCAGAACAATAGAACTTGTAGCTTGAAGTACTCCTGACCATACGCATCCCAAGTTTCCACACCTTTCTTCCAAAGAATTTCTTGGTCATCGATAACATGCTCCAAGAACACATCAATATCATTGCTGGATTGTTTCGGTCCTTGGATTAACAAGCACAACATAATGTATTTTCTTTTTGAAGCACAACCATGGCGGTAGGTTATAATTTGCAATAAGCACTAGCCAAGTGCTATGAGAACTGCTCATGTCTCCAAAAGGATTCATGCCATCCGTACACAAACATATCCTCATGTTTTTAGGGTCGGCTATGAATTCTAGGTATTTCTGATCGATATTCCTTCATTGAATCGAATCTGCAGGGTATCTTAGCATACCTTTGTTCAGAACTCCCAAGGGACTTTAGAACTCCCATGTACCTTATCTCTATGGCATGCCAACGTATTAACTCCGCTTCCTTGGGGTTGGCAAAGATTATATTGAAACAATCAATGATAGGTAATATCACACAACCTTCGCCGGACCACCCCGCTTTGAATTCTTTCCTTTGTCAACACTTTTCTTTCGCTTGTATCAAGAAGTCTTGCAGACAGGACAAGCATCTAAGTCCGCATATTGCTTGAGGTACAATATGTAGTCGTTTGGACAAGCGTGAATTCTACGAACCTCTAACCTCAGAGGACACAAAACCTGCTTTGCTTCATATGTTGTCATAGGCAATGTGTTCTTCTCGAGAAGCATGGCTTTAAATATTCCCAAAAGGTCTGTGACTCTTGTCTGTCCGTCCACTACTTGCCTTCAGCTTCATTAAGTCCAAGGTAGCTGACAATTTGGTGTATTTTTCCTGGCATCCGACGTATAGAGGTGTCTCCGAATCACTGATCAACCTGGTGAACTTCATGAAATCTCTCTCGTTGTAAGGCTGTGTTTGCAACCCCTTGTTCCCAACCCCTCCCCCTCGTTTTCCGCGCGTACGCTTTTCAAATTGCTAAAAGGTGTGTATTTTTACAAAAAAAGTTTCTATACGAAAGTTGCTTAAAAATCAAATTAATCCATTTTTGAAAAAAAAAATAGCTAATACTTAATTAATCACGCGCTAATGAACCGCTCCGTTTACCGTGCGGAGGCACTATGTTCCCAACCTGAACATGAGAACACAGCATAAGTTAGGTTCTCAACGTCACGCAACATGTCTTGCAGCATATAGTATGTATGTATATATGTGTATATATATATATATATATATAGTTTGTCCAAGGATAGTTTGTGTTTTTCCTGTTCCTGGGGGCCCCTACAAATATACATTGGAGTTCTATATGAATGGCATGTGACAACAAGTAGAGCACATGTAGCTGCATATACTCTAGTTCTCAAGGCACTAGCATTTCTCTAAAATAGGTTAATGATAAATAATACAGAAAAATAAACAAATATAACTGGAAATAAGCAAACAAACCTGGATAAGAACAAAGGATCTGCGAGAAAGACCTGCCTGCAAGAGATAATGCATTGATCAATCAGACATCTGATTTTTCTTAGAACTAAATTGAGCAACAAAAAAGGATATTAAGAATAATGCTCACGTTGACTGCATCTAGTTGTGAATCATTAAGGTTTGTTTTAAGATAATCCATAAGTGGCTCAGGGACATTCCAAGCACGGTTTTGATCATTCCCACCACTGTTCTTCTCACTAGCTGAAAGAATCAGATCCTTAAAAGGAAGTGATGCTACAGAGTGCATGCCCGAGAATTCTCGCATTATGGTAGACAAGCTGCAAATCTGACAATTTTAACCATAAAAGAAAATAGCATATTCATATGTGTTGTCAATGAATTATGCAAGCATGAAAACTCAGGCATTCTTTATTAGCAGTTGAAACTCACCTTTAAAATCCAGAGGAAGCTCTCTGTAGTTGAAAAAATGGAAGCAATACGCTGCAGCCTAGAACAGCTCACAGGCTTTGCTACATTAAGATTTTTTATTTCACCTGCCACAAATGTCCTTAGAGAAATCGTTTCTCTGCCACCCCGCTGTTCCACTAAGGCAAAGGCATATGCACTGGGGGTCACTCCCTCTTCAAACTACAAAAGTGCAGATATATATCAATGTGATGAATTTTCAATCATAACTTCTTTCTTGAAGAGATATCGCATAGAATCGATGGAGCATTTTGCTAGCCTGGCATATTATCTAAAACCATGGAAAGCACTTTTTCTGGTGAAATTATGTCTCAAGTTCCCCATAGCCCTTCCAAATGTAGGAGCGCAGATAAGTAACTAACATTGTCTTGAGTTCTTGACACGCTATATGTTCCACTAAATTCTGTAGCCATCTATACCTTTTGAAACATTTCCTATCACACCACTAAGGTGCTAAAGCACTTACTTTCTCTTTGGACAGCAGCAGGAGATCGTTCTCCGACACCATCTCCCGGAAATCATCAAGCACGGCCATGGACACCTTGTGGAACCCCTCCGACTCGGTGCACGACGCCACAATCCCCTTCTGCCAGTCCTGCCCAGCCTCTGCCCACACAGAAACGCAAGGGAGAGAAAAACAACACACACACACCCACACACACACACTGTTAAATAAACCGACAGCAAATTGGGGGGGCAACACGAAATCGGGCGCGCCACCCACCCACCCACCTTCCTCCTCGTCGCTGCGCCCCTGGACGATCTGCGCCTTCACCTCCTCGAACAGCAGCGGCTCGAACACAGCGAGGTACTCGGCCACCGAGGCGTACGTGTTCTTCACGCGCCCCAGCCCCTTCGCCTGCTGCTGCCCGCCCTGTCCTCCCAAGCCGCCATATAGAAAAAAAATTCAAAGGTGGTGTCGGTGATTGCAAAGCGAGCGCTCGGGGCGGGGCGGGGAGGGGCGTACCTTGGAGTCCGCGACGAGGCGGACGTAGTCCCAGCTGAGGACGATCTTGTGGAAGCGGTCCATGGTGGAGGCGGCGACGCCCGACGAGGAGGAAGAGGCGCCGCCTCCGCCTCCGCCGCCGCCGGATTTGTCCACCGCCATTGGGGCGGCGGCGAGAGAAGGGGGTTCTGGGGTTTAGTGAGCCGCCGGCGCTGCAGCGGCAAACAGCCTCGCTCTGGAAAGAAGGAAAAGGAACGAGATGAGAGCAAACAGAGAGAAAGTGCGATGCTAATGGTTATGGCCATGTAATGGGCCTGAGCCCATTTCTGAAGTACCCCCAACGAACATGGGGCAACTCCGATGCAAATCCACAAACGAAAGTTTGATGAAATGGGGCTTCAATTACTTGTGCTGTGGTTAGCGCATTAATCATTGTATACAAAATACAAAAATTCGCTGCTGGACACCGTATCTATTAAAATATTTATTTCTAATTTAATAGAAGAGAGAAATCATAAAAAATTTACTGCTGGACACCACACTTATTAGAATATTTATTTACAATTGAATAGAAGAGATAAATCACGTATAAGTCTCCATCTCCTCTCTCTCTTTCTCTCAGCTTTCTCTCTCGTTCTCGGTAGGATAAATTAGCCTAAAGTATATAAGTCACATTTAAGGTTTCTTTAATAATAAAATATGTCACAGTAAAATAAATGATATCCTATATACCTATACAAATCATCCTCACTGTTAGAATTCTCTGCTTCCTGGTGCTTCCATGTCACCCTTTTTGTCCTCACCGTTGGATCCGCATCGGCCGTTCCTCCCGCATCGCTCCTCTCCTCTCATCTCCCGCATCTTGCTACGGCGCCAGCCCCACGCGCATCGCTCCCCACCTCTCCTCTCTCGCATCTCGCTGCTTCGCCGGCCCCACGCGCATCGACTCCCCTCTCCCGCATCGCTCTCCTCCTCGATCGTGGCGGGCAGCCAGGAAGCGCGACCACCGCGCAAACGTCGTGCCTCTTCCATTCACCGCGCCGCTTGCTTTGCTGATTTTATGGCGACTCTCCTCCTCCCAGCGCTGTTGTGCGTAGTAGTTGAGGGATCACGACCTCCTGTGGTTCGCTCCCCATTCACCCAGATCCCTTCGTTTACACTTCGATCTCCTTCCTCTCACATCTGTATATCATTGGCAATAAGCATAAAAGCCATCGAATCCGTTTCCTCCGACTATCAAATCGTCGCCCATCTTCTCAAACTTCCCCTCCACTTTCATCTCCCTCACATGTATGTATGTCGGGGCACCAGGTTGAGTCCAGCTGCACATCGCCTACTCCTCTTCGGGCTAAAGAACGCACTTTTTTTTATCAAGGGTGGCCCTTGCTGTGCCCAGCGCCATGGAGGTAAGCACCACCACCGCCTTTCTAATCCATGAAGGTAAGCACCATCATCGTCAATTTTGCAGCCCAAATACAGAACAGAAGGAGGTCGCTGGCACTGGGCAAAATTGCTCAACTTGCCGATTATTCAGAGCTGAAGGAGCACGCCAATAGCAGGATGATGCCTTCTGATTCATCACTATATCTATGTGACCAGGTCTGACCGTCTGAGGCATTGTCCAACTTTCATATGTAATTTTTGCATACTACAAATGGATTCAGAATTGAAGACACTATTCCTAACACAAAGGTAACCATATCTTCCAGCGTTTAAACACTTATTTACATGGATGCTTCTGTTAAGAAAAAAATACCATAGGTACAAATTCAATTGCTGGTTGATTCCAAAAATATATCATGGAAAAAACATTCTCTTCCATAAAATTTTCAGGCTGCAAAACTGCAATGCTAATCTTCTCTTTGTAACTCATGACACATGAACAACCTACCAACAACGGTTCTTCTCCTCCTAGATTGTAACCCATGTGTTTATCCTCCAGATGTGTTCCCTTTCATATTATTGACCCTTTATATGACCATCATGTTATCCCTTCTCCTAACACAAAAGTTGCACTACCGCATCTGGAGGATCCTAACATAAAACATCATGACACTAACAACCAAATTTAGTATCCTCATACTATTAATTGCCAATTTTGTTTGATTTATGAAAAAATATCCTCATAGACATAGCACTCTTGAAACAACATAGAAGTTTTTTAATCATATTCAAGTTATTACAATTTATCTGATTTAGCTATTACAATGTTCCGCAGCAACGCAGCGGGGTATCATCAGTTTATATAAACACCCTTCCCCTTCCCACTATCTGCCAGGTACGACCGCACGAGGATACCAACGACTAGCACCGCTTCCTCTTCCTCCTTGTTGCATCTCGCCCAGTGCCTATTAGGAATACTTTGCCATATATGTACAGATTGTATTGTATTGTTTCTTTCCTTGTATTCTCCTCTAATTGAGGATCCTGTACATGTGCTTCCTATATTAATACATGGCCACCCCTCCCATTGGGTGTGTGGTGTTCTCCCCATTCCATTCTATATGGTATCAGATTCCAAGTTTTCTTCTCCTCTTCCGCTGCTCCAGCGCTGCTTCCTCTCTGGTCGCTATGTCCACCGAGCGTCGCCGCCTCCCTGGCTGCCACGCCCTTCTTCCCTCACCATGTCCACTTCCTCAGCTACTTTCGCTGCCACCGACTCCGCTACGGTGTCGTCTTCCACCTCTACCGTCGCCCCGGTTTTCGTCAACCCGTATGCGACCATCACCGTCAAGTCCCATGTTCCGATCTCCCTCGAGCTTCGTAACCCCAACTACAACAAGTGAAGGCCTTCTTCCGCTCGATGTGTGGGAAATTCGGTCTCCTCGATCTTCTTGACGCTGCTCCTCTCACCAACCCCGACGCCGCCTGGGAACAGGCCGATTGCTGCCTCCGCAACTGGCTCTTCGGCTCCGTTGCCGACGACGTCCTCGACCTCGCCATGGAGCCTGATCAATCGGCCCGGGACTTGTGGATCGCCATCGACAACCTCTTTCAAGCCAACAAGGAGCCTCGCACGATCTATCTGCATCACGAGTTCCACTCCATGACCCAAGGCGATCTCTCCGTCGCCGACTATTGTCAGCGCATGAAGACGGCGGCTGATGCCCTCCGCGACGTTAGCCACCCCGTCACCGAGTCCCAGCTCGTCCTCAACCTCCTCCGCGGCGTCAACTCGCGCTTCACCAGCACGGCCGACAACATCGCGAGCGCCCCTGTCTTGCCGTCCTTCGCCTCTGCGAGGAACACGCTGGTTCTCAAGGAGCTTCGCAACGCCAACTCGGTACAAGTCCAGTCCGAGACTGCCCTCGTCGCAGCCAACAGCGCCCACTCCAACTGCACCGGGGGCACTTGCCACTCCTCTGGCAGCGGTGGGCAGCAGCAGAACCGCGCCGGCGGCGGCAACGGCGGCAAGAACAAGGGCAAGAACGGCGGCCGCAACAACAACCGCAACTCCGGCGGCAACGGCGGCGGTGGATTCGGCGGCCGCCCTGGTGGATAGAACAACGGCAGCAACAGCTTCGGCACCAGCACTTTCTCCGTCCCTGCTCCATGCCAAGCTGTACCATGGGTGTTCTTGCCCTGGGCAGGACAGCAGCAACCCTGGCGTTCTCCCAGCGCCGGGATACTTGGGCCGTATCCTCAGGCTCACACTGCCTTCGCCGGGCCATACTCCTCGCCACCGCCTGCAGGGTCTGTCCAGCTGGCTTGGGACCAAGCCGGCCTTGTCGCCGCTCTCAATGGAATGACGCTTCACAACCCCAACTCATGGGTTCTCAACACGGGTGCCACTTCGCACATGTCCTCCACCGACGGTATACTCGTTACTCGCCTCCCCAACTCACAAACTTATATTACCGTTGGTAATGGTCACTCCATTCCGGTTGTTTGCCGTGGCACTTCCTTTCTCCCTATTGGCACCACTAGATTCGACCTTCGTCATGTTCTTGTTGCTCCCTCTTTGGTTCGCAATTTACTCTCTATTCGCCAATTTACCCGTGACAATAAATGTTCCATTGAGTTTGATGAGTTTGGTTTTTCTATTAAGGACCCTCAGACCCGACGCGTGATTCTTCGTTGCAATAGCCATGGCGAGCTCTACACCCTCCCGGCCGCTGCACCTTCCATCGCCGCCCACTGCAACCTTGCCACCTCCTCCACATTATGGCATCGCCGCCTCGGTCATCCGGGTCCAACCGCCGTCACCACTCTCCAACATTTATCCGCCATACCTCGCTCCAAGACAAATAATTCCCTTTGCCATGCTTGTCAGTTAGGGAAACACACTCGTCTTCCTTTTAATAAGTCCACCTCCAGTACCTCTTCTCCTTTTGAACTTGTGCACTGTGATGTATGGACTTCTCCTGTTATGAGCATTTCGGGCTTCAAATTTTATTTAGTGCTGGTTGATGATTTTACTCATTTTTGCTGGACGTTTCCTCTTTGCCAGAAATCCGATGTTCATCGCCATATTGTTGAGTTCGTTGAGTATGCCCACACATAGTTCGGCCACCGCCTCAAGTGTCTCCAAGCCGACAACGGTACCGAGTTTGTTAATCACAACACCACCTCCTTTCTCGCTGGTAGAGGTTCCCTGTTACAGCTCTCCTGTCCATATACTTCCCCGCAGAACGGCAAGGCCGAACGCATGATTCGCACCCTCAACAACTCCGTCCGTACCCTCATCCTACAAGCCTCCATGCCACCCTCCTATTGGGCCGAAGGTCTAGCCACCGCCACATACCTCCTGAACCGTCGACCCTCGTCCTCGGTAAACAACCCAATCCCATTCCAGCTTCTTCATCGCAAGATTCCCGATTATTCCATGTTACGAGTGTTTGGGTGTTTATGCTATCCCATATTCACATGCTAATATGGGAGCCAGGAACAAATAATGGGGTTCATATAATTCATTCACACACAGAATTCCTGGTGCAAATAAAATAACTTTCAATGTCCCCATTGACACTAGAACTCCAAAGAAGATGACTAGGTAGCTGCAAAAAACACCATCCCAATTCCTCCACAGAAAAAAAAATATAGTCACACAATATTACATGTTAATGACTTAAATAGCTAGAATTATTTTATGCCATGATGTAAATCAATACTTGACAGTCTCATAAACACATCAAACCAAAATTGGCACAGATGCTGCTCAGAACCAGGTAGTAGTTTTTGC